TTTTAAATACAATTTCAATAAAATAAAAAAAAAAAAATTTATAAATTTGAATTTTCAAATTAAAAATTAAAAAATTTTGATTAATTAATGCTTGAATATAAAGTTTTCTTTAAAAAATTGAACTTTTTATGTAAATAGTTTTTGTACTTGATTTTTTTTTCTTCGTAAAATATTGCTGGTAAATTTTCTTATCAGAATTTCGACTTCATTAAAAAATTATTGTTTAAAAATTTTTTTATCATTAACACATGAAAAAAAAAATGGCTCTAACATAAATGAATGAATTTTTTTTTATAAAATTTTTTTAATCATTATTTTTCTAATAAGAATTTTAATTTCATTAAAAAATCATTTTTAAACGTAAAAATTTTCTACAATTATTCCTCATGAAAATAAAATAAAAACACAATTATCTCTTAACATAAATTAATAAAGTTCAACTTAAATTTCCTTTTTTATAAAATATTCTCAATAATGTATTTTAAATTAAAACTTTGTCACTAAAAAAACTAGCTTTACGCTTAAAAGTTTCGAAAATTCTTCATAATACTAAAAAAAAATTAACTCTTAAAATAAATTAATTCCTAACTTAAACTTAAACATCTTTCCTCACCGAAATTAAACTAAAAAAAAAAAAAAAATTGAATTACTTCAGATCTCCATTTCCTACCACGAAGATAAAATTAAAAACCTAGTGATATGTAAATAACCGTAAACATAAAATAGTAAAAGTAAAAAGTAAAGCTAAATAAAAGATCAGTAAGCTGAAGGGGATGTTCATGAATAACCATCGAGCTCACGGCTCCGCGTGATTTCGCGTGGGACTGTTGGCGGTATACCAGCTGGCTCGCGTTTATTCCTTAACCTTTGGCTTGAACTTAATCCTGGATAGCGATGGTATACCTAAGGATTTAATATCTCAACTCAGTGCAACTTGTACAGCCTCCGATACAGAGACCAGACCAGAGTCGAGTAGAGTACAGAGTAAAGAGTAGAGTACATAACATAACTATAACGATGTTATCCCGCTCTTACGACGCTCTCCCGTTGGCATGACGACCCCTTGACGCCGCCCCTATCTCCTCGTCACGTGACACCCCCTCGGCCAAACAATCCACGGGGATTTCGGATGCTGGGCGCCAGAAGAGGGTTGCTGGGCGTGCCCGCGGATCTTATTTTATCAGTGGGGATGAAAACTGGCACACTATCAACTACGCGACAAGAAGTCGCTGAAAGTCACGTGCCGACGACGCTTAGCTTAAGCTTCCATGCTTCACTCGCTAAAGAGACCGTTCTGTCATCAGTTTTGACTTTTAAAATTTTTTTTATTTAAATAAAAATCATTTTTCGTGCGTTTTTAATTTAATGTGAATTTTTTAGTGCAACTTTGGATTTTTTTCTGTGATAACCAAAACTGTACAATTTTGAAAAAAAATAATAATAATAATTGTGATAGCTAAATTGAAGTTTTGTGAAATTTTATTTGGGGTGAAAAGTGTGACAATGAAGAGTGGAGAGTAAGAGAGATAAATCTAGCCGAAAAAGTGTCAATGTCACGGATAATACGGTTCAGTTATAATAATGTGAGCCAGATGCCGATCGGGACCGGGAGCCACCCGCGGTCACTTACAATGACCCTGATGATCGTCTTTAGATGGTAGACCTTCCCCAAGGGAAAGGACTTGTTGTTCTTCTTTTGAAAATTCGAGTTCGATTGAGAAAAGTTTGAGATACCTTTCGTGTAGAGTTGGAGATTTGGGATTAAAGGCTCAGCGACGGCCGACGGCTGAAGATGGATCTCAGCACTGCGTATAGATATAATCAGAATATGATGGAGTATTACACTTGTAAGCTATTTTTAGTTGTTGTCTTTGTTTTGAGAGGAAAAGAATTAAAATGTTGAAGGTGACTAGAAATTTTTTCGGTCGGTATGAAGATAGAGAATGATTTAAATTTATTACAAAGAATTTTTTTGGTAGAATTTAATCAAGGGGCTTAAAATTAGAGCACTTAAGCTTGATAATCACATTTTTTTGATCATAATATTTAAATTTGAACCAAAGTTACCGAAACTTCAAAATTAATTTAATGATCAAAACATTTTTTTGGTCACTATAGCGATGAAAAGTTCTGCATTGACTGTAGAACATTTTTTGAGTGAAATTTGATCTTAGAGTTTAAAACTAGAAGCTGTAAACTTTAAAACAAAATTTTTTTGGTACTGACATTCAGATTCGAACCAAAGTTATAGAAAATTGAGGATTAAATAATGATCAAAAATTCTTTTGAACATTACTGCGATAAAATGTTCTGTATTAATTATAAAAAAATTTTTTTCGGTGAAAATTGATTCAAGAACTTGAAAATAAAAGGTTCAAGCTTGAAAAAAAAAATTTTTTTGGTCTTAAAATTCAAATTTAACCCCAAAAGAATCAAAGTTAATATAATAATTCACAACTAATTTTGGTCATTATAGTAAAAGAATGTTCTCTGCTAATTGTAGAGAATATTTTGGACGAAATTTGATTTAAAGGATTGAAAACAGAAGCTTCAAGTTTGAAAATGAAATTTTTTTGATTATGATATTTAAATTTGAACCAATATTATGAAAATTTTTTTATTCATGATGATAAAAAATTTTTTTGAATATTATTGCAATAAAATTTTATGAATTAAATATGAAAATTTTTTTTAGTAAAATTTGATTTTAAAGCTTCAAGTTTGATAATAAAATTAATTTGATCAAGAAATTCAAAATCGAATCAAAGTTACAAGAACATCAAATTTCATATAATGATTAAAATTTTTTCTGATCATTATAGCGATAAAATGTTTTGTATCAATTATAAGAATTTTTTTGGATAAAATTTAATCGATGTATTAAAAAGTACTCGCATCAAGCTTTAGAAAAACTTTTCTTTCGGTCTCAAAATTCAAAATTTGAACTTAACTTACAAAAGCATTAAAATTATCATTAAAAAATCAGTAAAAAATTACCAAACATCCTGCCTAAAAACTTCGATTTAAAAAATTCAGAAAAACTTCTCAAAATAATATAAAAAACTGCAAAAGTCAAAGTTTAAGATACAAACCATAAAATTTTTACAAATCGTTAATTTTGAACTTCAATTTAGATATAAAAGCATAAATTTCTCTTGAAGCCGTCACTATGCAGTGTTTCACCAAAATTTTAATCAATTCCAAATTCTGAAGCTCAATAATTCCAAAAACGTTTAATGTTTTTCCAAAATTCTAATCAATAAGTTTTCGAAAGATTAAAAATATGTTGAAAACTAAAAATTTGGTACGGAAGTAGTTCTTACAGTTGGGCGCGCAGCCAGGTGACCTTATTCACGATAAAACTTTTCATGCGATCGATCTCTACTCGCTTTCCAAACTCTCAAGAAAAAGGAACTTTCTACCTTGACTTATAAATTTCTCTAAAAACCAAAATCAGAATCAGAGGTCAGTATCTGAATCTGAAAAGCGTCGCATTGTTTATATTACCGGGTAAAAAGATATAATAACGAGGAAGGTGATTGCAATAATAAGGGTCGTAATGCAGCTCGACCACCGGTGCGGTAGTACCTCAACCCTCTATTGCCTTTGCTGGAGCTCATACTGACCATATAGCTTCTACTAACTCCTCTTTCCATATATATATATATATATATATATATACGTATATCGGTATATATACTCGTATATAGTTGTGGTCAGCAGGCGTGACGGCGCGTAGGGTATACCCAAGTGCTTGCAGTGCTGTTACGTTTCTCTCATAGTACATACTACATATAACTTACCCACTCATGCACTCACACACACATACACACGACATTAATATACTAGATATATTAACTAGCACTCAGAGAATCAGAGGAGTACAAAATCCCTACAGATCCAAGCCATCCAGCGTCCCCTCAACTACCGGTTACGCCACGGGGCTCCCGCTATAAACACACGACGCCAATTGATTTGTTACTAACGGATGTCACGATCGTTTCTGGTAATCATCATCACGATATCGTCCACAAAATCATCTTCATTCTCTTTGTCTTCGATTTTATTTAAATCCGAAGAGAAATTACCTTTTTTTATACTCTGAGGTAAAAAGTGTTGATTTTGAGTGAAGATGCTGTGTAAATTTCTCCTTTTTTTTTTAAATAATAATCTCCAGAAATGAATTTTTTAGACGAAATTTATTGAATTTTACTACAATTAAAAGTGACAATGTATTACAAAACCGTTATTACCCTTAATAAGGAACGTCAGATATTATACAGATTTATTGACTATTGTCACAACATTTAGTGACAATGAAGCATAGAACTTTTTTTTCTGTCAAAAATCAACTCATGTGTCAATCTTTTATGACAAATTTCATTCATTAGACTGATATTCATTAAAGATAAAAGTTTCAAGTTATACAAATTTATTGCACTTGATTACAATCTTAAGTAACAATGCAGTACTAAATTTTCATAGCTCCAAAAAATCTCATCAATTATCGATCTTTTTTATTTCTGTTATATTTAAAAGTGACGATGCAGTCCAAAGTTTCATATCACCCAACAATTATCTTTAGAAATCAATTTCTTCTATGAAATCTAATTCACTAGACTTCCATTAAACATAAACACGTTAAATAAAACAGACCCACTAACTTTTATCACATTTCCAAGTGACGATGCCGTACAAACCCAATACTTATAGTTATAATTACAATAACTATTAAATATTAATCTTTTAGACGAATAGAAATGTAATTCGATAGTCACTTCGGGAGCGACAAGTTAAATAAACCAGAGTGTCGTTGTGAAATAATCGAAATTGCAGGCCGAGGGACATGTGTCGTTACAGCTCCCCATTACGGGATTAGATATTAAATTGCTGACTCGGGCGAACTTTGACGTTATTTAGTAGTTAATTATAACTATCAGAAAGGCTTATACTATCAATAATAACAATAAATAATAATTTGGTTTTGTTGAATTACAGGTCATGGAGGTGTAAATCAATTGGGAGGAGTCTTCGTCAATGGAAGACCGCTGCCGGATGTAGTCAGGCAGAGGATTGTGGAACTCGCCCACAGCGGTGTTAGACCGTGTGACATTTCCAGACAACTCAGGGTATCTCATGGCTGTGTATCCAAGATACTGTCAAGGTAAAAAATCCCCTTTTAAATAGCCCGGGCACCAGTACAGGTATCTGTTACTGCAAGAAACACAACACTTTTGTAAGAATGTAAATACGCAACTCGGTTTTTTATTTCAGCGGATATAATATTGTAAACAATGGAAACTGTACACGGAAAAAAAATTGTAGGAAAAATAACAATTGTCACATCGTAATCCAGGACCAGACTTTTAATACAATTTCTTTGATAATTTTACATTTTAAAATTTACGATATTCTATCGTAAAAAAAGTAATAAGTAATAAATATCCGAATTTTGACGATGTAACATGATAAATTTCAAAATGTAAAATTATCAAAGTAACCGTATTGAAAGTTTGGTCCTGGAATACGATGTTACAATTGTAAATTTTTCTACAATTTTTTCCGGTGTATGATATTTTTTCCTTCCACCAAGATATTATTATTTATATCTATATAATTAAGAGAATAAAGAAAAAAATTCTCTCTAGTGTATTTACATGATAAAACCGATTTTTTAATTAAACTTAGTATCATTAAAAGGGTGACCAGAATTTGTCCATCAAAAATTTTATATATAGTTTTCAAGGGTGTCACATTAGTTATCATTATTACTAGGAATTAAAAATTTTTTTTTATTTAGCGGTTTTTCGCGGCTTGATATTTTAAGACAACCTATTAGACAAGTGAGAATCCATTTTAAAAGAAATAATAAAAATGAAAATATAGTTATTATTATTATTTTATTTAATTATTTTTTTCGCATAAGAAAACACCAGGATAAAAAAGACAGCTTGAAACCGGAAGGAAGGTCCTGGGGTAGTCAATGTGCTTTTCATGTTTTTTCCATCTCGACCTCTGCTCTGGCATCCGCCATTTCGAGGCTCTACACCATACAATATTTAATAAACGATTTTTATTATTTAAATTAATAATATATACATATCGATATTCTGAAAAGCTCCCGATTTAATTATTAAATACTTGGATAAATAAAATAGCCAACGGGCGGGCATTGTTCCCTTATAATTGAATTCCGGACAGCTTTCTTTTGTCCCAGATCGGCATTATCAATTTTCAATGAAAAATATTCGCATACACAATATCCGCACTTCCATTTATCCATTCACACGGAATCGATACATCGATTCGCGTAGGGCACCAATATTAAACCTTCCAATCAACAAGAAGTATGTATAAATAATTATTATGCTTTTTGCTTTATTTTTTAGTTTTATTTTAGACTTGCGCTGAAAAACCGCAAGTACACATGTCGCGGTAAGAAGACCAACGACCCGTTAACGCTTAGTTTATTACGCAGTCACGCGTCGCTAAATCACCACCAGCCAAAGGATTTTAAGATTATTCTGAGAGCCACGGATTTTGCTAATAATAATTTAATATTGAATAATTAATTTGGTAATGAATAATGAACAAGAAGACACGGAAAAAAAATTTCAAGTTCTTTTTTTTTATGATTTAATGAACTTTAATTGTCTGTTTCTATGAAAATCAAAGTCTTAAATATTTTCCGAAAAATGGTAAAGAGTAAATTTCGGTTTTGAATTTTTTCTTTAATCAGGGAGAAAACCAGTTGATATAAAAAAATCATTCTTCCCAAAATACACGGAGAGAATTTTATATTAACCCTAACAATACTTGTTTTGTAGATTTTACTATCTTAGATGGTAATTAATTTTACAAAAGTTGAAATGATAAATATAACAATTTAAATTATAATCAGTACAATAATAAAATAATAATTCCTAAAATAGAGCGATCGTACCATTTACTATCGAGATGGTTACATTTACCATTAAAAGTGGTTAAAGTTACCAATTGTATTATAAGTTATTCAGTAAAAGTAAGCACTGAATTTATGATGATAAGTATTTAGGCTGCGTTCGAAAATGCTCTATCTCTAGATACATAATTAAGAAATGGCCTTGAATTTTGTGAACTATTGACATTTTTTAAGATATAAACTCATCTCGATGTTACACTCATCGAGACCTTTCATTGGAGTACCCACATCAATTTTTCATATATTTCATATATTTATATATATTGTATATATGTAGGGGAGGGGGGGGAGCAAAATGGGGTAGGGGTGGCAAAATGGAGTACCCCCAAAATTTCGTAAAAAAATTTTTTTTTTTCAAAAAGCTTTTTTAGCTTTCTAAAATATATTTTAACGTCATTTCCTACAATTTCAGAGGAAAAAAAATTTTTTTTACATGCAGTAAAAAAATTTTCGTCAAATTTAACACAAATATTTGTGTTACTGACTGTTTTTACACAAACTAATGTTAATTCTACATTCTCGTATGTTAAATCAACACATGAGAATGTAAAATTATACACACTAGAGTGTAATTTGCTACACAAACATTTTTACACTTTACAAATTGACGAAAAATTTTTTACTATGCAGTAATTTTTATCGTCATTGTGCATCATAATAATTTATTTTTCACATCTAAAATTTTTTTTTCTAAATTTTTAATAACTTTTTTTTTTTAACAGCTTTTAAACAGATGTAACAATCAATTCCAAAATCTAAACAGTTCTTTAATTTAAAAAACGACGTTGACTGCTGCAAACCGCATCAAAATCGGGTGATGTGTTGAAGAGAAATCGTACACTAATTATTTTAAAAAAGTGTCTTTTTCAAATAACGTCGAATTTATTCTCGAATTATTTTTGATGACATAATTTAACTATGAATGCTCAGAAAACTGAGTCAGAGGCCGCCAATTGCTTCAAAATCATTTGGTGCGCTTGTGAGATATTTAATTTAAAAAGTAAAATCTTCAGGTCTACAAGATTATTCAACTTGAAAAAATTTTCCTGAATCCCTAAACCAAGAAAAAGAGTGCAAAAAAAATTACGAATCTTTTTTTTCGTGCTATTACTTTGAATTGCGTGAGAATCTATGAGTCTAAAATTTTTTTTCACCGGGAGTTCCAAATACTAGAATTTTCTCAAGAGAACTCTTTTTTTTTTTCATCTTGATATTATTTTTACTCAAGCGAAACCCGTCAAAAATTACGACAAAGTTTTAAAATTTTTTTTACTACCTCAATTTTTGTTAGGAATATATTGCTTCAACTAACAATGTCTCTTTTTTGGGTGATTTGTTCCTCTCTTTGGGTTCTTTCGTAGACTTATCGATAAGAAAATGTTATTTTTTTTTAACGATATTTCATTTTCGGATGAAGAAATTTTTTTTTCACTCTTTTAGGGAGCACCCCATTTTGCCCGCAAAAAAAAAAATTTTTTTTCTACGGCAACTTGAAATTTGATTATTTTCCTTTAATTATGACTGAAAACGAGAAAAATCAGCGTATTTAAGTCCTTAAAATCATAACGATTGCTTAAGTACCCCATTTTGCCCCTTCCCCATCCCCTAAATATGAAAAATATATCAAAAATGCATGTGGGTACTCAAATGAAAGCTCTTGATGAGTATAACATCAGGATGAGCTTATATCATTAAAAATGTGAATAATTAAGAAATGACCTTGTATCTTATGAATTATTGATATTTTTTAAGATATAAGCTCATCTCGATGTTACACTCATCAAGACCTTTCATTCAAGTACCCACGTCATTATTTCATATATTTATATATATTATATATATGTATATATAAAAAATATATCAAAATGTATGTACGTAATCAAATGAAAGCTCTTGATGGATGTAACATCGTGATGAGCTTATATCTTTAAAAACGTTAATAGTTAAAAAAAATACAGTGCAATTTAAAAAAATTCATTATTTCATGAGGCAAAATTTTATTTATTTATAGTTAACAAGTTACGACAGTCACATAGTGTGATAATAATAATAATAATAATAATAATAATAATAATAATAATAATAATAATAATAATAATAATGTGGTGGTAGACATAAACTGAAAATTAAAATTAATTTTTTTTTATTCTAATTAATATTAGAAATGACTTTTATTTAATATAAATATCAATTTGATAAAATATAAACTCTGATGGTAATAATTATCATCAAAGATTGTAGAAATTATTAATTTGATTTTAAAAATTATTATCAAGATATTTAATCAAATTATCTCAGATAGTTGAAAATACAATCTTATAGTAATATAAAAGATGGTAAAAATTACTATATTGGTGGTAAATGTAATAATTTATATCGTATTTATAATAATAAAAGGTAGTAATCATTACTATTGAAGTATTTTAGAGCTTTTTACAATACTTAGATGATAGTATTTACCATAAAATTCTCTCCGTGTAGAAATTATTTTTAAAAGTGTTATGTCTTGACTCAAGAAGTTGAAACTCATTTTCTACGCTTATTCTAAATAAAATAAAGACAATTGTTATTTATTATTAAAAGTTCATTCTTGGTTTCATCGCTAGGTGGCTATGCCGTCTCACTTGCAAAAAAATCTGATCAGAGTATATATAAGGGTAAAATTATCTTTTAGCGATAATATACATTATTAAAGAACTATTTTACATGAATCTTGTTACCAGTTATTTTTTAAATCGAAACTTTAAGTAATTTATTAATTTCAGAGTGATATTTTATTGAGAATACTTTTCTTAGATCAATTAATTTTTTTTTCCGTGTAGTTTTGCCATAAATTAATAATGAGAAAAGAGTAATGTAATGGCAATAGCAGCCGTGATAGCAAATAGAGCAAATAGTTGTTTAACAGGAGGATAATGAATGCCTGGAAATAATAAAGCCTCACATTTATCAAGCTGAGAGGCAGGAGAGTACAGTATATACGGCGACCCACAACCAAACCATTATTGCCGGGTTAGCGTAATTGAATTTAAGCACCAGCGAAGATATTATTTAACTAATTAGACACAGTGGTCTCGTTGACTGGGTGGCCCGACGGGAGACGGCAGATTAGATCAACGAGTGAGGGGTCTAGTCTAGACTCATCTCATCAGTAGCTCCTCACCACTTAGTCTTGAGTGTCTTCAATGTCTTCTTCGAATTAATTCCTCCTGATAATTCATTTATATTATCCTTTGTTTCAGGTATTACGAAACTGGGAGCTTCAAGGCAGGTGTGATAGGCGGCTCAAAGCCAAAGGTCGCGACTCCGCCGGTCGTCGACGCAATCGCCAATTACAAGAGGGACAATCCGACTATGTTTGCCTGGGAGATTCGGGATAGATTGCTAGCGGAAGGAATTTGCACGCAGGACAACGTGCCATCGGTGTCTTCGATCAATCGGTGAGTCTAAATTATTATTATCTTTTTAAACTTCTCTGAATAACATTTTTTATTTGCGAAATTTTGTTGGGTTTTTGAATTTCAATTGCTCAAACTGAAAATATCAGTTTGAGTTCAAATTTTGGCTGGAAGATAAGCGATACGAATAAAATAATAAAAACCATTTTTATAGAAAATGAAATTTTCTACAAGAAAGGTATAATAATTTTTTCGTATCTTTAGTATTTAACCCAAATTTTTAAGATTTAATAATTTCGTATTGATTTTTTGACAAAAACAGAATCTAGACTTCTTTAGTTTTTGATTCGATGATTTCGAATCACTTTGATCATTCGATAATGACTCTATAATAACTTATATCAAACAAAATTTAATTGAAATCCGGAATTAGTACTTATTAGCAATGACATACAAGCAAATTTGCGTGAGCGTCCATTAACACCTACAACCACAAATTTGCCTGATATTTAATTACCTGACAATTTAATTCTGTCGATGAGAATGTAGATAAGCGGCACTTGAGGGAGCATCAGACGGAGGGAAAAAGTGGTAGATAAGCCGTCGATAAAACTAAAGCTGTAAGTAGCGACTGATTAAATCTGGGACATATGGGAGTGAATCAATGAAGGCCTCTAATCCCTCGAATGATACAACCAGCCCGAATGGTACAACGACAACTACAAAAGTACTATACAGTGGATCTATTAAGTGCTTGGACTCTTATAGCCGTACCTTGGCCCCTCGGGGCGAGTTGTTCAGTTTGTGTGGTGCTGATACGCTGTAATACTGTCCCACGAGAGCATCACACCCTCTCGATTTTACTAACATGCCCGAGAGCGTCCTTGCCCACCCCACTGACGTAAAAACACTTGAATTAATCGGGGGATTCCCTTAGGAACCTGCTAAAGGTCAATGGGACTGCATCAGCTTAATAGGGTACCAATACTAAAATAAATTTACTAGTTCTAGCTCTAACTGGGGACTAACACCGAGATTATCAAGCCGAAGAAGCGATAACTAATCACTCCCTCGATCACCAAAGCATATGTCGAGTTCTTTAAGGGGTTAGGCGCACTTACAATACCGGAAAGAGATTTTTTAATCATTTTTTTTTTTTAAGAGGCTTTAGGAAATTACCAAATTTTAAAAATCTGGGTTAAATACTAAATACTAAAGATACCAAAAAATCATAAGTGGCTTTTTTTGTAGAAAATTTTATTTTCTATGAAAATGGTCTTCATCAATTTTCGCATATTTTTATCTTTTAGCCAAAATTCGAACTCAAATCAATATCTTCAGTTTGAAAAATGGAAATGAAAAAATCCAAAAATATTCCCTTAATACCATTTATTATTTACTGATTTATCCAAGGAATTATTAAAATGTATATTTTCAACAAACTGGTGGTTTCATAAAAAAATTATCTACTTTCGATGAAAATTTTAGTCCTAAATTGCTTATAAAAACAAAACATTTATCGGAATTATTAATCCTTGAATCAATTACTGAAAAGAATTAGTTATGAAAATTGTTTAAAAATGAGAGACTAACCTTACCAGTCGTTTTCAAAAAATCTTACTTATTGCATTTAAAAATACACTTTAGATGAAAAGGCGTTTAGAATTATTCAGCTTGAGCCTCATTTTTGTTATCCACATGCTGCGATTAGACTTTACGAATATCTGTATAACTTTTAAAAATACTTATCCAATTGACATCAAATTTTCTGTTTCGATATTTAAATATGTCTAAATTATCAAAATAAAGTAAAGAAATGACTTTTTACAAAAAAAAAAAGCAGGAGAGAAAAGGTCCAATAAAATAATAATAATGGGTATCTTGAAAATGATCGGGGATGATCGGTATCAGGATCTCGGAGAAACAAGTTTTAAAGAGCAGCATCGAGTGTAACATGATTGTTGGTGAGTTGAGTGTGAACAAGGAAATAACTCGGATAAGGATAATTCACGTTTATTTGCGTGGATCACTTGTTGAGATAGATGAGGAGATGCTTCAGTTGCAGGTTACGCGTGATGCCCTGAACAAATTCTCCTCTTGTCTCGCCTCCTCGCTACAGATACACCACCTAACACGTACTTTGCCGAGAGGAGGGAAGGGAGTGTTGAGAATAAGAGCTCCGAGCAATCCCTGATGCCACGATTGCAGAGGGTGGCTTGTTGCTTGAGTAACTTTACCTTCTTCTCCTTCTTCTTCTTCTTCTTGTTTCTTTCCTCTAGCTTTGCCTCTCGACCCACAGCAATCCAGATACTGGAGGTATTGATCTCAAATCCGGCTGAAAGGAGATCGCCTGGAAAAAAGTTAGCCTTTGGATACTTACCTATCTACTTGCTGGATACCTAAGCTAACTTACCTTCACCCATCTAAAGACGTGCGCTGACTTTTATCGGCGCTTGTTTTTCTTTTGGTCCCTGAAATAAAGATATAAAACAGTAATGTGGTGGAAGATCAAACTTTTGATGGATGATCATCGTCTTGCTTAGACGACAGCTGTATGATGAAGATAATGATAATGAAGAATCATCATTCAGGTGCAGAAATAAACACGCAGTTTTTGATTTATAAAATATTGAAAAAAAGTACTTAAGTAAAAAGTAGTATATTACACACCGAGGGAAGTAAAGTAAGAAATGTCTCAGATCACATGTAATCACAACAAACATGTGATCTGAGGCTTTCTTATTTACTTCCCGAGGAGTGTATGCTATTTTTTTGCTCGACGAAAGCAGAAAGTGGAAACTTCGTTTAGCGTAGCGGGCCGAAAGTTGACGCTTTCTGCCCGTCGAGCAAAAAAAAATATTCTCTGGAAAATATCACTTAAAAAGTAAGTCAAGAGTTTGCCGAATTTTTAGTTGGTATAATTTATTTTCGCGGCAATTTTCATTAATGATATTATCGAATTGGTTCGACAATACCAACAATCTTCAGATTTCTATTGATAGAAAAAAATTAGAAACTTAAATATATTTTTGTAAGATTTTTCTGGTAGCGAGAGATTGAAGTCACCTATCGGTAAAACCAAGAACTAATAAAAAAAAAAAAATACCAGCTAATTTAATCTAAAAAAACAAGTTTAAAAATGAAAAATTATCGAACCAAGTCAAACAATTCTCTTCAAAATAAGTTTATTCTTACATCAAATATATTTCAACAAATTTAAGAAAATCAACTAGTTTTTTCTCATCCAAGGTTCTCCTCGATGAATCTGAGATTATTTATAGCCCTTATCACGGTTTATTAAAGCAGTGAAAAGAAAACCGTGTTGTGATTATGTCATCGAGAATGTTTTGCCGGGTGTGTATTAATCTGGTTACGGTTTCGGTAATGGTATATTGCGCTAGCAGAGATTTATAAAACAAAAACCGGAGATAAAAATAATGATACGAGATTTGATATATAAGTTATTATTGTAGAGCAGACAATTTGGGTTGGAGGACGAGCCACTTATTCCTGGTATCCAACGAGAGATGAGACATTGCTGGTTGAGCAAAAAATTAATGAAAGAATGAGGATATCTATACGTATAAGAAATAAGAAATAGCCGAGTCGAGAGTTGAGATAATGGAGTGGCTATGGCGAAAAATAACAGTTATATATATCCGCCTGGATCTAGTGTATCGTTGAGACAAAATCGTCGAAATGACCGAGAGACTTTTATAAATCGCAAAAACAACTTGGAGGAAGAATTCGACGTTAACAGTTCCGAGCTTTTTTATGCTCGACAATCCAGAAATGCTTCAATGCCGTCTTCCACGCAAAATCTACGAACCAGTTCAGGGTTTTTGCCACTGCACTGACACCGGCATTGTTCCTAGCGTAATTGATGGAGATGTGCCGGTTGATGCTGGTTGATGCTTCTAAGGGTAAGGAAACGTCTTAGATTCAAGCGGACGTGAAGGTAGTCTTATCAAGATCCTTGTGGGAAATGGAGGAAGCTAAGGTAGAAATTTCCCTCGAAAATATTGATAGGCTCGGTCTTGCTCTGGAGTCACGCTCGAGTAGGCGGCGCTCGGTGAGGGGTCTATCTTACACTTCAAGAGAGGTAGGAGTCACTCTCTTTGGGTTTTCCAAGCTTTAGCTGGAGTGAGACTAACCAAGTGAACCAAACCAAGCTATCGTCTCAGGATCGATAAGAAGCTTTAGTTAGTATGAGGGTGAGCTCGGACCAGCCTCCAGTCTCACTTTTCTGCTTCCTACTCAGCTTACAATCGTGCTTTCTCTCACTGGCTTCCGTGACCTATAACCCCCGTCTTGAATCCAAAGCCTGCTAAAAGGAGAAATAGGAGAAATTACTTCCTACCCTTTTAGAAACAACTTCTGCTATAACTTTAAAGCTTTCCAACCACCAGACTCCATTTTATTGTCTTATCAAAGATCAACATTTGTTAATCTATCTATCGATGCATGATATATAATTGAAAATCAAACACCGCTGAACCACACATGTGGTTCTATTGAATCTATTCCGGGAATTTTGATATTCCGAACTTTTTCACCTGACAAATCCCGTGACTCAACCTGGGAGTCAACCTCAAGCACATGTGCTATCACTGAACAGAATGTGAATACTATAAGTATTTGGTCAGTATCCAGTGGCGCCCGAGCGAGGAAGTGTAACCGTAAAGCCCTGATTGAGATTGTCTCTTCCTCTTAGTTACATCATCATCTCGTTCGTAAATGTCCCATCTACTCCTCCAATTTTCTAGATTACCTACGTTAATACATTAAATCTATTACTGTAACGAGAGCTCGCTCGGGAACGATTAACTGGACATGGATCATTCACCTGGCCATCGATCATCAAAAGCAATGATCATCAGTATCAGCAGAAGCACAAATGACGGTAAATCGGCCACAACCCCTAGTCCATTTAACGCGACTTAATGACCAATAGACGTAACAGTTGGCATAAAATCTGTCACTTGGAATTTAGCTCACGGGAATAGTATCAATCTGTCATCGGGTAGTTGATAAAATATCTCT